TTTGATTTTTATTGAAGTTTGTTAAAGTTTACTGCTGTTTTGATAATAAGCTTTTTTTATCTAATACATTTTGCTAACATCTTGAATTTTTGTGTAACTGTGATATGAATCTGATGGCAATCGTATATCGTACGTATCTATCTATCACGTAAATTACTGCCAGAACCTACCACGTAATCGGTAGGTGCAAAAAATCACATGACAGGTAGGTGTCTGTAGACTTTCCCTTTTAATCTTCCCCAGTATCGCCATAAAAATTTTACTGTCACGTGATAGTGTTGTAAGTTCGTTTAAGTTAGAGTTAGTGCTTTCTATAGCGTTAGACATAAGTGGGTTTATAGTAAAATTGCTCAAGAAAATTTTTTTGTTAGAGTGCAAAAGGTAGTTTTTTATGCAAATTTTTGAGAAATAAGCAATTTTTTCAAAAGCGAATGTTTTCCTGATTGTGTAATGTTATATCGAAGCGAGGCTCACAATTGGATAAGCTTAGGGATGCGATTATACTGGTATAATAGAAAATGGTAGTATAATACTAGATATAATACTGCATAATATGGTATAGCATGGTATAGCTACCATTATATATTGTTTAGAATTTTTCAGAATTTTTCTAAGGGAAATTTCGGAATTGCAGATAAAGCAATTTAATTGGTTAACCTATTTCTATTATTGGTATTATATCTAAACCTCTGTGTATAATACTCGTATAATACTTGTATAATACAAGTAGTATAATACAGTATAGATATAATCTGCATCCCTAGATAAGCTACTATAGATCCTCACGTGATAGTAAAATTTTTATGGTGATACTGGGGTAGTTCTGAATTTTATTGGTTGTAGTCCAAACATGTGAAGAATTACTAATTGTTATACACACTTTTTTTTTTCTTTAAATATTTATCTCTCTATTCTATCTAACTTAGGCTGTGACTCTTTATACTTTATGCTAATCTAATATGTAATCTATAATATAATTATAAGTTATTGTATAGTCGGTAAAAAAATATTGATACGGTAGTATAGATATGTATCAGTGATCAGATCAAATATCTGTTAAAGGTATGTGGATCATAATAGCAGCCTAACAGATATTCGATTCAATTACTAATGCATATCCATACTACTGTATCAATATTTTTTACCCTCATACAATAATGTTATTATCATCTGGCAGTTTTTACTGCCATACTTATTTAATCATATAAAAAAAAGTTAGTTTATATTTTAAAGTTAGCTAATTTGCTATAAATAAGATTTTTTTTATATTTTTGTTATCTCTTCCTTTTACTTTCACAAAATAAACTTTATTTTACAAAGACAAACAGTATTTTTAAAAAAATAGTAGCTTTTATTAAAAAATAATTACAATACCCAAAGTATCTAAAGAAAAGGTTTACATACTATCTATTTATTTATTATTACAACTATATATTACCATTTATTATTTATATATTAACCTTTTTTAGAAATAACTTATATATGTGGAGCCTATGCCAGAAGAAATTATATTATTACAAAAAATATCTGTAGTAGAAAATACACATAGATCTACTTTGAATTGGACAAACCAGTTTGAGAATTATCATAAAGATGCAACCTTCTTGGTGAATTATCAGATATTTCAAACCCAAAGCAACTTGAAGAAGAGCTTTGTAAATACTTTACTATATGCCATAAAACTAATAGTGATGAATATTCTGTCACATTTTTTCAATTTGCAATTAATGCATTAAACTGGTATTTTAATGGTAAAACAAGTAAATTAAAACCAATTAACCTAAATGATAAAAAGGCATACTCTGATCTTTGGCATAGATTAAATAGAAAAATTAAAATGTTATCTGCAAGTGAGTATAGAGAATTAAATGGATCTGATGCCTTAACAATTAATGAAGTTCAACAAATTCTATCACATTTACAAATATCAAGACTTAATCCCAAAGGATTGCTGAATAGAGTTTTCTTTTTTAATGCACTTTGTCTTGATCTATGTGGTGGATAATACTTTTTATTAGAACTTGTTTCTTTTAAAAAAAAAAGATA